CGACTTAGCCTTGCGATTTCTTTCTTTTTTCAAAGCTGAAAGGGATTCTCATAGGGAAAAAGGCTTCCAAAGAGTCGAGGATATCAAGACCAGCGTGACGAGGCACCCCAAAATAAAAAAGAATGGAAAAGTGCATCAAAGCAAATGGGGAATATTTCGAAGGGGACAAGTAGAGATGACTTAAGACTTGTATGTGTTAAACAATGTGGACATTGTACGATATGCATATAAATAAACTTCTAAATTCAATAGTCCCGTTTCATCAGGTTAGTGAATTTGTTGTCTGATAATTCTTAAGTCCCAGGTTTCGGTAGTTCGTAGTTAGCAGCTGAGAACCACATAACAGTTTAAAGTCAGGTGGAGTGCATTATTGTTTTTAGAGCATTATTTATTCATTATTGTTGTTTATTACTAACTAATATATCATTTCGAATAGAGAAATTTATGTGTCATTTATGACTCTAATGTGGTGAAATCATGTAATAACATGAATTAATTATTCCTGTCTCATTTTATCGAAATGAACTGATTTTCGTCGTGAAGTTTAGATCACAATGATGCCAAAGAATATATATCACTCCAAGGAGTAACGAAGAAAAAGCGAAACAAACGAATCCACAACTTCACGATTTCATTAAATTTATCAAAATATTTTTTTGGACTCAATATTCGAATTGTTTGAATGATTGAAGCCGGAAAGAAGAAATATGTATTAATATACAATTTGTAATCACTAGTATAAAATAAATAGTTATAAGAAAGTTATTTGAACCTTTTTAAAACAATTGAGAGATCCTTATCTATCATTCATTCCTGTATGTTGTTTTGAAACATCGTTGAACTAAAATTTCTGTCCAGTTTGCTATGGTACTATATCTATGATTCATATTTGCATATTTTTTAAAACTTTCTTTCGTTTTCGAGAATTAACATTTGCGTCAATGTCTCTGAGCATTAGTCTTTTGTTTATTTATTGCAACCATAGTATTTCATAACCTGGTGATAAGGTACAATCACATTTGCTAAAATCCTAAGAAATATTGCATTTGGTTCACAGTTGTATGTGAGTGTATTGGAAATAAAAAAGAAAATCAAAATTTATTAAATAAAACGAGTTTTAAATTTAAACAATGTTTAAGGATGAAGGGCATCCTTATGGTACAGACGAAAAAATATTTACTGATACAAAAAGATTTAGGAAACATACAAAATTGCATAATTTTTATATTTATAAAAAAATACAAAACATAAAATATAAAACAATAGTATCAAATACGAATGCAATCTTTGTATCAAAACGTATGGTAATGTAATTTGTGTATAACAAATATTAAATAGTGAAATTATCTGTGTTATATTATGTATCACAATTTGAACTCGACGTGCATATGGAAACTTCAGCCGCATTTTCTTTATTTTGCAGCTCTAAGTATGTTTCAAACGTCACATTGGACAGCACTGTACCAACTGCTCTTTCGTCAATGTTCGATTTCAATATATCTTTTCCAGAATTCTTATCATGCACATGTACGAATACATGATTGTTGTCAATATTTGAAATATCCATTGATTCACTGAGCCCGAGATATCCTTCTTTTTCCATCAAAAATTTATAATTTTGACCGTCTTCTTTAGCAAATGCGTAACGAAAAATAGCATCATCTGGATTTACGTATTGAAAACACGTCCATTCAAACGCAGATGGTATTTCACCAGATAAAACTGCCCAATAATTATACTCATCTACATCCAAAAATTTGGAGTTGAATTTAACATTGCATGGTAAATTTTGACGTAATTCATTTACATTAAATGAAGATCTCTGAATGCTGATGTCGGGAATTCTCGTGGAATACAAGAAAACACAGACTACCAACTGAACGATATATGTTGCACACTTCATCTTATAATTTGTTTAGTAGTTTTGATGTTTTAATGTTGATTCGTCTGTAGTAAGTTGGTATAATAACTATCTTTGCATTTCATGCTCTTTTTGTATGTTTTGTACGCAACAAGTATTTATTTTTATACCAGCGGAGTTTTGTTAAATATTTATATGTTGAATTAAATGTTGTTTCCAGCATCTAGATTTGAATTTATTTTTACTTTTATCAACTAAAAAGTGCATAATTCAAAGCTAAACTCGAGTTATTTCCTGTTCAACAAAGGTTGAGTTGGTTTCCAAAATTGAGTCACGTTTTCAAAATATGAATAATACTCTTTTTACAGCAAGAATTTTATTTAAGATAGATGTGAAAAAAAAAATCGATGAAATATTTTGTTTGCAATTCAAATTGTTAGTATGAGGTGGCGATAATGAAATACTAGAGTGATATTTACAAAACGAAAACAAATTAATATAATCCAGAACTTGAGATATATTATCTGATCTTACGACACCCTAACTGCGATCAAATATGTATTTTGATTTCGCGATTTCATATTTCCCTGCAGTGATTCAATTGTCACACAACATCATATTAATAATTATATATTTGTTGAATAAAAAAAATAATGAAATTTATGTGATTTTCTGGTATTGCCAAACTAATGCATTTTATTGAATTTAGCAATAATTATTTTAATTTGTAATAGAAAAAAACTATTTAGATATCTAAGTGTTTATCATGCAAATAGAATTATTCAAACTTTTTCCTACATTGAGAAACATTGCTAATTTTAATCAAACCTGGTTAGATTGAGTTTATCATTTAATATTATTCAGATCAGTAAAATGAAATTTATTATTCGTCATCTGACCGACGAATTCACCCGGAAATAACCTATACAAGGTATATCACACCATGCCCTATTTAGTGGGGCCGATTTCCGGATCCGAACTCGGATTCGAGTCGAATCCACGCATTTTTTGGACTCTTATTCGATTTCGAGTCCACGTAATCATTACCTATGTTTGTACTTTTATCTCTATAAATCTCAGTACATACCCTAACTGTTTAAAATTCGTTGTTAGATCTGTAACAATATTCTTGTATGTGTTATAAACCCTCTTAATGAAAACAAGAACAGATATTCAAATAATATAATGCATGTTAAAAACTACTGATCGCTCATAACAATGATGTCGCGCCAGTCGCCTCCAAACTATCTATCCTTTTTGGTATACATGTGGTACACAATAAAATATGTGTTAGCGCAATATTTTTGAGTTTTCGATTCGCCTAAAAATGAAACATGCTCTGGATCAACCCAAGGTATAATTTCATCAATATCTCTTCTAAATAGAGTTTATTACGTGCAATCTTTTCCCTAAAAAGGGAGAAATGGAAAGCATGTAGAATTTTAGAACTTTTACACGAACTACTAAATTGCAACAGATGTACCTCATTGCATTGACGAGTGGCATCGCACTACCATTTGCGCACGCGACATGGTAAGTTTACGGCTACAAGTATCGGGAATTATGGGGAAGCATTGCAGTCAAAATCTTTACATTTTTCATATTGAAATAGCCGCCCAGAATTACCGGAAGGAGATTGGCTGGAAGTCCAGTTCACAAACAAGGCGCATATTGACCCACGTTCACGTTTGTATTGTGACCGCCAAAAAAAGGGAAAAGATAATTCTAAAATGATTCAACAGCTATCTGCGGTACTATTGGGTAAAAAAATATGAGCTACGACGTTTGTTTGTGAGCGCACGTTACTGTAGCATGGTCAAAAACGTGTTTTTCTAATTTTCATTGTGACGTCACGGACTCGGAAGATTCGATTCGAGTCCTTGACCTATTACTCAGATTCGTCGAATCTCTGTAATGACGGACTCGTCCCATGCCCTAGGTATTTAGCCAGAATTATTGTGGTTCAATGCACAGTGAAAAATAGGAATGAGTTTATTATAATCCATGATCCATTCAATGAAATTCAGTAGTACAAAACATTTATGTGTTACGTCAAAAGCCTGAAAAGTGCCCAAAAGGCAATGAAGTTTTCTTCTGAAAAACTTGATGAAATTCCATTTGATTTGAATTTGAATCAGATAATTACAAAGTAACAAGCAAATGGTGTCATTAACAATTTGTTACTGAGGCGAGACTCATTTGCTGCATGTTCGTTCATATCGAATTGTGATATATAACTTCTATTTTTAAATATTGTAATAGATTTTTACTGGTTACTTAAATTTCAGTTTTGCTGACTGTTTTCAAAGACGCTTCTCAACGAGCTTGGTTATCGAGTGGTAGGGTAGTACTGAAGTTCAAAATGGCTGAAATGCGGTCCAATTTAGCATTGTCTAGTAATGTGACTATACGGTAAATCGATCCAAACTTTATTGAAGTTTTATGAAAACTGAAGTAGTATATATACGTATTTTCATGTCAAATATGTACTTGTCATACACCCCAGGCCAAAAATTACTTTGTTCATATCGCTAAGGACCACGTACATTGAAATATTAGATTTCATATCCCTTTCGAAGTTTGAAAAAAGTTTAGGTGTTAGAAGTCCACAGAAATCTTAAATCAGTCTAAAGAGGAATCTATGAATCTCAGGACTAATAATAATAGGCCTACTTGAGGAAGCACTAAATAGTTTATACGAAATTCCGAAAAGTAAAATTGAAATGTATACAAGGATTTTATTTCAGTGCTACAAGATATCTCACACAAATGGCCTATGTACTATCACAAGCAACATGGAAATACACATATTGATATGCTTTCATTTTAGCGAATTTGTTTTGAAAACATTTGTTCTTGCACAACATTAATAAACTAATATCTAACACATACTCAAATATTTTAATCCCTAGTATCTGACTACTTAAAAAACTCTGAGTTGACGATGCCATGAAAAACAACAGCTTAATGTAATATATAATGTGGGAACGAGTTAATATTCTTTAAGCTTCCCGATACTCGATGTGATCCTTTATAACTCATTAATTAACAAACTCTGTAATTAAGAAAACAGCTATATTCTCTGGATTTTCAAAGCCATAAGCCACAACATAGACTCACATCATCGAGTATTATTTATTACACAATTTTATCTCATATCGGTAACACAAGAATTATTTCGGTATCATTACTGGGCCAATCTTTTAGTAACATTTCAATGGTCCCAACGTGTAGTATCCGTAGTACGATGATGAAGTTGTATAGAATCCATAGTGCATTCCAGTAACTGGAAGTACATTTTTATCGTATAGATATCCTGCATCCACTCGAATTGTTGAAGTACCCGTATAATCACAGTTGCACTTGTAATAATATGAATTGCCAGGCTGGCAGGATCCTGAAGTAAAATGAGATAGTTTTTGCTAGGTTTTTGTTCGAAGTTTGCAAAAAGTGCAGAATATATTTGCAGAAATGGTACTAATACAATACTTTAACCAATACAATATTTAAAAAACTGCACAAGTCAAGGCATGTGGGCGGAAAACTGTATCAATGAAATTCATGATAAAGAAGGAGTAATGAATGGCGAGATTAACATTGATCAATAGTCTATCTAGTACTCTAGTTGTGAAATTAACGATTTGAAATGTGGAAACAGCCCAAAGTAGCTTCGAAGATCGTGGTACCCACCTGTCTCTCCACAAGCGCAGTATCCATCATGAGTCGGATCAGCTCCACCCCAGTATGTCATTTTGTCTCCTTGTCTTGAAATCCACCAAGTGTATCCACTGTACAGCATTCCTGTTCCACGACATTGCCACTGAACAGAATATTCAATTTAAAACATGTGGTGTAATGTACAAACAGACGGGTGACGGCGCCTTAGTGTGGACTCCTCGCTGATAATTTATTATTACATATATAAAAAAGAAACGATACGAATTTGATACGAATTAAACATCAATTATTATTCCAATAAAGGCGAGTATAAGCAGGTCTTTATTTTAATCAGTACAAATTTCCCTCAACAACAGTATCCGCAAATGACCTTCGACTTGTTATAAAGTCAAGTCTAACCTCAATGTATTGTTCACAGTTATTAGATCCGTTAATAAGAGCACCAATTTGAACCATAGTTGCATTGTAGTTGACTTCAATATCGTTGTCAGTATAGTAATAAAGTTGTGAACTCTGACTTTCTTTATCATGATGAACAACTGTTATCCCTGTAACAAAAGAAATAATGTGGTAAAGTCTATACAATAGCCCTTCTATGAATTGTGTAATTGCTGGTATTTTTTATCAACTTCAGAAGTCGAAAAAAATCAAACAAGGGATATATCCAATTCAAGTTTTTCTGGGATGATCTACAATCTGTTCTGACCTGTTCCAGGATAAGAATCCATATCGCAATAGACTTCAAACGGTTGAACACCAGCACCGGGAGCTATCGTATAGTATCCAGATGGGTTTCCGTCTGACTTGAGACCGGTACAATCTTTGGTGCTAACTGAAAATAGATAGAAATAGTCAAACTATTTGTTAAAATTGATTGTATTATATTAAGTACTTCTTCTTCTTCTTCTTGATCGCTAGCGTTTCTGTTGTTTACTTACGTTACATATAGAAATCACTAATGTTTTGCTGTAATCTATAATTTGACCAAAGATAGTAAATTTTAATTTAGTTTTAAGTTAATAATAATAGGAGGTTATGTTATATAAATATCTACGATATGTTTTTTTTTTCACTGCAGTTGCACTGATGTGAAAGTTTTTTTTTGTCGTATTTCATTTTAAAGCCTCAAATTTATATCAATCTTTTTTTTCAATATCAGTTAGAATTATTTATTACGCCTTAAAATAAATAATGATAATCACGGGGTATAGCGATAGTACATGTACACTAGATTGTGAATAGAAGTAAATATTTGGTCTCTTGGCGGCTAACTAGCGTTGTATAGTCCACGGTAGTTAGAGACGACTCCCAAGTGCCCACTAGTGACGTTTTGTGCAACCGACAAAGTTACAAGTCTTTTTTTACATAAAAACAAGTTTGACATAGCTATATTGAGGTGAGTGTTTGGACTGCATATTCAATTGGCTTCACTGCTCTCCTACATTTTTATATATATGTAGTATATTAGAAACAACGGGTGTGTTGTTTGCCGAAAGGTACATATGATGGGAAAAAAGCCAACCACGATACTCCCAACAACGATTTGCCGTGGCAGAGCAAAGCAGTGTTTGAATGTGCTCATTGCGACGTCTTCTAATGTGTAGGAGAAGAAGACAAAAATCATTGGTATGATTGGCGCAATAAAGTTCTGTATTGGCGTTCAGTATTCATGCTTTTTCATATTTTTTAGGCAAATAAACGAAAATAACACTACACATTGTTTGTTTTAGTTTGAGTGCTTCAAGAACTTGCGGGGGTAAGCGTGTTTGACGTCGGGAACTAACGCGGCATGGAATTCGCTATACGTGACGACGTAATTGCGCAACGTCACTGCGTAACTGCGTAACATCGTTGTTTAGGTCAAGCAGGTCAAGTTGACGAAATGGCTATTTGGCGTCCAGGTAAATATTGAATGAAATGCTTATGAGATTGGAATGGTGCACCATAAATTCAATTCAATATTATTGCTAAAAGGGTATCTATAATCTACACAAACGCTGCCGATAATACAATAGGTTAAATCTATAAAAAAAAAATGAAAAATTGATTGAATTTAAGACCATTATTTAAAAAAAAAGTATGTTTTATAATTTTGCAAATTTCGGAAGACAACCGCAACCTGCTTTTTAATCTTAAAATTATAATTAGTCTTTAAGATTACCTTTCACACGTTGTAAAACTTGTCTTAATATAATTTAGGGTCATCCAGGTACGAGGTTTCAAAGTTGCATTCCTCGTACGTGATGCCGAATCCTCAAAAGCGGTTTCAGGGTCAGAAGACGTTTTCGGAATAGTGGCTTTTAGGGTTCAAAGAGTTATATAATATTAATATTATTGTATCAAATTGAGTACATGCCTTGTGTATGCTAAATAATACCTTCTCCCTTGCATTCCAATTTTCCAAGAGTGAAATACCCTCTTTCTTCAACTCCTAAAACGTCTCCAAAAAAGAGCTGAGTCGCAGGCAAAGTATCCTTTGACGTTAGATACCTAAAACATAAGCTTATAAATAAGCATTTGCCAACTACTGGTGTCGAATATCTGTAATCAGCTAATTTTTAATTCATTTCTCTGGTTATTTAAAAAACGATAGCTTGAAAATGGCGAAATAATTATGAATATTTTTAAACAAAACGTTTTGGGATGTAACATTCATTAATAATTCAAAATATCCAGGTTTGTCCAAATAACAAACAGTCAGTTACAAAAATCACAATTATTCAACAAATTCATTTAAATTCATCACTTATATTTAAATTACATACGAATAAAACAAACGTAAGAAGGTCTTATATTTAACGATTTGAGATTGTCGAATATCAGTGAATTTTTGATATTTACGTATCATGTCATTTGACCTACCCGTCATCTTGTCTCCACACCAAGTCATTATTATCACAATTGCAAGTGGTAGCTTTCCCTTCGCATGTTCCCTTCTTTCCGCATTCACACATTTTGCTTCCTGTCAGATACAATATTAGCGAGCTTAATCAAATACTACAAAATTGCAACTGAATAAGCATAAATAAAATTTAAACCTGGATCAGCTCCAGCCCAGTAATGTTGCTCTTCGCCATCTCTTGACACCCACCACGCATAATCATTGTATGAAAACATCATTGATCCAAGACATTCGTACTGTTCGCAAACAAATAAAATAATAGTTTCAAAAATTGAAAAAAAAAAGGAATTTTAAACACAGTTGTAAGTTACTATGTATGTATGCTTGTCATTGATTTCATTAGAATATAGAGAATGTAAACTTGCAACATAACTTATAATGACGAATCAAGAAAGTCTGAAACTCAGTTTTTCTGTAGATATTGGACACGCCTTGATTATTAATTGAATTAGTCAACTAATACAAAAATTACTCAGGATGATAAGACGCTTCATACTAAATTTTAGTTTGGGAAGTTCCGAATGAACCCCATACTACAACCAATGCTTGCAAGCTTAAAAGAAAATTGATACTACTATTTTATGTACATATAACTTTTCCTACAACTTACCGACAGATATTGTTGACAGGACCTGGATGTCCACATAACGGCTTGAATTTGTTCCCAAGTTTGATCGTATGTGACGTCATGAGAAAAACACCCTGGATCCTGGCACCCACGTACGTAAGTTCTTTCTTCAGAATCATGTCTAATAGAGTAAAATACAAAGTAATATGATTGAATTATCTTCCTAAAAAATAATAATCAATAAGACTAATCCAATTTACCCCAACATCGTAACCGCCCATTCTGGATCTGATGTCATGTCGCAGTATACTTGAAACGGTGGTATAGCACCATCGGCGCCGTCTGGATCTATTTCATAGTATCCGGAATCATAACTCATGAGTTTGTATTGTTCACACGATTGTTTCGCTGTGAATACATTCATACATATCATGAATGGTATATGTAATAAGAGATTGTCTCCACTAATTTGTAGCTTTATTAGCAAATATTTTTGAGAATTTCAACTGATATTTATAATGAAAAAATCGGACTAACAACGCTCCAATTTCCTGAGTTTGAACTAAAAATGAAGGAAAATATACTAATATATGATTGGTGCATTGCACAACTTACGACTTGTAAAGTTGATTGTCACTTCAATCTGTTCTACTTGATTTTGCAAACTTGATACCTGTGACTGCAATGCCGCAACCTGCAAGTTATAATTAATGGCGCGCTATAAACAGTTATTAATGTTAAAAAACAAAATTATGAATTGAACACACCAAATTGTAAAATGATCACTTCCAAATTTTGTATCAAAACATGTTTATTTTATTTTTATTTCAACACTCACCTGTCCGTTTATTTCATCGATCTGACTTTGCATATCGATACAGCATTGTTCGTCAATCGGTTCTGAACCTGCAATGGTGAGTGAACGTCACAAATGAATTCTCAGGTGCGTGAACATGAAAAGTCGGTCAGAAGCAGAGACAATTTCACAAAATTTGGTTACCGGTACTATAATGGACATTCTTACCAGAACCAAATTCTTCATACGACCAGAAGTTGTCAGCCTTTGCTTTCGTTGTCCAAAGGCATAAAGCAATCAGCAGAGTGCTGAATCGAAACATTTTATTTTCCTCACTTCTTCTACAGTGGTATCACGTGAATTCTGTAGATTATGTGACTTCTTGTAGTACTACGCTTACCTTTATACAACCTTACACGACGTTATTTATTTCATAATTCTATCCCATCTCAAGTTGTGTTGGTTGATAAAAAACCACATTTAATGATTAAATATTCCGAGGCAATACAATGTTTATTTTACTTCTATATTGGTAGCGTTATCAAATCGATACCATGGTATCGGTTTAACAGTTGCAAGGATTCCCATTACCAAGCAAATATCGTCTCCAATTGCATAATATTAAACTTTTATGACCTCACAACCATTTACCCTCATTTTAAAGACTCTCGTAGAATGGCGCTTGTGCATTGAACTCTCAAATCATAAATTGACTCGAGACGAATCTCGTATAAGCTAAGTTATGCAAATCAATCTTGTAAATATTATTCTGAAATCTGCTCTATGTTTTATCCATTCGTAACTGACGCAAAGCGCTTTTGAATTTACTAATAAGATTGCGTATTCTGTATGACTGTTGAACTAGGTTTTATTTAGGAAAAACTTTCCGATTGTTTTGTGACTATTTTGTGGAAGAAATATATTCAATATGTGAAATTGATTTCAAATATTGCTTTGTATCGTATAATTTCAATATCTTTTTAGCAAATAAAATGTTATTTCAAACACATTATGCTATTTAACACGTTAAATTCAAAATGCTGGAATTTTTAATAATTGATACATCTTTATCTTAGGCATTATGAATGTTTTACTGGCCTGTCCGTTTAACGCCAACAAAACAGGAGTAATACAATTGTTCCATTGCTAAACACATCATTTTCTAACTATTACGAAATAATGCTTTTATATATATTATTCATATGTTACGTATACGAACTATATTGTTCGAATATTTCCCAGTTGAGTTAGGAAAATTAAAATTTTTCATAAAAGTAGACTATGGTGCAGAAACAAAGGTAGCATGTAAAATTTGCTAGATATGCCAAACTAGTATGTTTCGAAATATTTTCACTGTTTGTTTGTCACCATATTGTGTTTTCCGTTTCTCGTAACTGCGCTGAGAAAGTCTGCAGCTGTTTAGGTGAAACTCTAGTTTCTGGTTTTAAAAGTACCCAATTTTATTTACCAGCGAGTGACACAAAACAATTTAGCATCTGTATATCATAATTTTTTCAAAGTAGTTACGTAATAGCAAGCAACAAAACGCCCGATCATTTTGAAACTTGTTTTAGTCAGCAAAAAGATTAACACAGAAGAGTTCTCATTTCAACGGGAAAATGATGGAGAAGACTTTATTGCTGGCTTCCTTAGCACTAACGATCAACTATTGTTTAACAGCATCGGTGACAACCTCAAAACCAAGAACGACACCAAAACCAAGAACTACAACAGGCATGATATTTTTTAATTTGTAAAATTGATGAAAGGAGCCTTGAGTTTTTTGGCTTGTGTTAAGGTATCAAATTAGAAACATTATAAAATAGAACTTAGTTTAGCGGCCCGTTCGTGTCAGCTACCTCACAAATCAAGTTAAGTTGACAGAACGGGTATCTTAAACTACTAACGTTTTAGAATCGTAACTAAGCCTACATAAGCCATAGAAAAATAATTAAGATAATTCAAATGTCGGAAGTTGATTGAGTACGGGTTGGAAACGTAGTTTAAACGTGATTTAAAAGCATGTAGTAAACATAATGCAGTTTCATATTACATTGGGTTATAAAAGTTTGATAAAGCCTTGAAAGCATTGTTCGGTAAATTAATAAATGTTTTCCTGCAGCCGTTTCCACGAGTGGACCATGCTGTCCGGCATTGCAAACTGAACTTGACAGGCTAACTGCTGAGGTAATTTCGTATTTGATGTATATCTACAAGTTAGTTTAAATATACAGTAAATAACTTATATGTAATATATGTCAGCATGTTACCGAGTGTTGTTTTTCATTTTTCTATGTAATTTAAATTCGCCACAAACACACCCATGTGCAACACATTATTTGAAAAATTATGAGAACGAACAGAAGCCCACGTGTAAACATAATTAGTGAATCACGTAAATATAATCTGCTAAACCAAAAATTTCAAATTCTTCTCTGTATTTTCACGCAACCTTATTTGTTGAAGGCATCAGCACTACAAGAAGAAATCATTTACCTACAAGATCAAGTTGATAGAATTGAAACAACTGTAAATCATCAGGATGGTAAGAAATTGTCGCCGTATGGTTGTGCTTACAAATTGTTTGTCAAAAAAATATTACTTTAATATTTTCTATTATTACAGCAAAACAATCCTGCGACGAGTTTAAAAAAATGGATTTTTCATCCGGTTATTACGATGTTGATCCAGATGGTCCTGATGGTGAAATGGTTCCATTTGAGGTTTATTGTGATATGGACTCGGATCCTGAATGGGCAGTTACTATGCTCGGGTTAGATCCGACTTGGTTGTATACATGTCAAGTTATTTTAAAATCTTTCCTTTTTTGAGAAATTGCAAAACTAATGGTAAGAAAAATAAAGTTAAAACAATACCACAATTGAAACAGTTTGGTCTAATATTAACGTCGTTTATAATAAAAATAACATAAATGTATTGGTGTATAACTTAGCAAACATAGAGTATCTACAACTAAATATAGAAGCCCATTTTTTCAGGCATGACTCGGAAACGCGCACGCTCGTAAGTGGTTGTCAAGATCCAGGATGTTTTTCTCGTGACGTCACTTATCAACAGTCCTGGTCTCAAATTCAAGCTGTAATGTCAACATCGCAAACCTGCCAGCAATATCTTTCGGTAATCTAAAAATATATATGTGTGTCAATTTTCCCGATAGGTTGCCGCAATGCTTACGAAGTAAAAAAAGTCGTACGAAAAGTACGATTTCCAAACATAAGAGCAATAATCAAGTATTTGATTTCCAAGGTCGCGTACCGGTGCCGTTGAGACCGAAGCACCGAAAATTAAAAAAAAAATACTAGTCTTTTATCCACTTCTTCGAGCTTCTTTGTATCGAAATTGATTGTTTGTATAGAAAAGCAATTTTTCTCAACATCAGCAACAACAATTTAGCAAAAACCATATGTGTCGGTCTCAAAAAAAACTTTACTCAGGCTAGGTAACAAGCACTCAATATCAATTGGCCCATATTAGACTAATGCAAGTATAGCAGCTATGCAAATCAAAGCCTACGGTTCCATCGCGAGCTGAGATCTCGATAATAATGTACGACTATCTTGATCTCTCTGATAATTCTCCGGGGCATTCACCAGGTTATAAAATATATACTCTATTTTTTCGATGCGACTTTTTTGTATTGAAATTTTATACAGTACGAATGCTACGGATCAATGTTATTCGAATACTCCGATTATGCTTGGTGGGTCTCACGAGATGGCGTAAATCAGTATTATTGGCCTGAGGCAGATGAAGGTATTAACTAAATTTATGATTGAAACATATTTTGCTAAAAAAAAATATTATATTTGCGAAACATAGTTAAACGCTTGAAGCTCCAGAAGTATTTGTATCAAGATGGCGCACAACCTGAACACAGTATGTGTATCAGTTTAGGGTGCAGGTTGTGCGCCATCTTAGTGCCTATACTTCGGGAGCGCCAAACTCTTTGCAATCTGAAAAAATGTAACCGACTTAAGGGTACTGCAATGTGTTTTTTTGCATTGCGTTAATTGATTTGCATGAACAAATGACAATGCACTAAATAAACGGAATTTTTTTGATGCGATGCCAAAAGTTCAGCATATTAAATTTAAGTTTTACTATAGTCTCGGCATCCTTGTACTGATTTTTAAATAATACTTGGTACATATTCATTAAAGGAAGCAGGATGTGCGCATGTGGAAAAAATGGAAATTGTAATGGGACATCAACAACTTGCAATTGTGACAACAACGACTTTAAGTGGAGACAAGATGATGGGTAAAGTAGCTATTTAGTTTATGTCCGTCATATTCGTTTCAATATCGCAATTCAATAATACTGAAGATAAATATATACAGTCAAGTTTAAGATCTTTTTTTTTATATTTTAATTAATGGCCTTTTTTATATAAGCTGACGTTAGTAAATGCTCTGATGTAACCCGTGGGAATGATTGGTTCTAGGTATCTGACAAAGAAGGATACTCTACCAGTAACTCAATTGAATTTTGGAGATGTTTTAGGAATAGAAGAAAGAGGTTATTTCACTCTGGGAAAACTTGAATGCAAGGGGAAAGGTATGAAAACATTAGTTTTAAATGCAGTTTGTTCATTTCTCTGCTACTACAATAACTAATGTAGTTCTAATACGTTTGGAAGTCTCTGTATATACGACAGACGCGAATGGAAGAAATGTCATTCACAGAAATGCCTTCAAATGGCTATTGTCGTTAATGCTTTCAGACTATCCTTTTAGAAAAAAAATGCATGGATGTAAACTTTATACTCTTTAGTGTTTGCTTGTACATATGTAACTGCTGATTAAACGCCTGAATAAAAACTCCTGTATATTGTTGTATATTCTCTCCCGGTGGATAACAATTCCATACCTTTAAGTATTTACTGGTAGATATCCTAGGTCAAAGTGAATATGTGAAAAAATGACGCTGGCGTAAAGATGAAAGTTTGAGATATAAAATCAAGTCGAATGTATGGATAAAAAACGACATAGATATGCTATTCTATATAATACGGTATATCTATACCAGGCATTATCGTGAAACTAGCATATATATATATGCTGTTTATTTACACAGCTGGGTAGGCCAGTGAAAACATATTGGCCGCTACAAATATATATAACAGTAATGTGCTTGATTCCAATTTTTAGCAAGCATTTCAACCTGTGCTGGTCTGAAAGAAAGTGGAAATCCGACAGGGTATTATGAAATTACTCCAAGCTCAACCGTTGAACCTTTTTCAGTTTATTGTGACATGGATTCGTATCCAGGAACAGGTTTGTGGTGTCCATAACATTTTTTCTCGGACCATAATTGCTTGAATTATGTATATTCTTCATTATTAAACTATTATGTTATTATGCAGAAAAATTCTCCCTATACTTTATTATTGCAACATTTTAGATTCTCATTTTACAAGTGTTTTGGGGCGTTGACAATTATTAACTGATTTACATGCTCATAACCATTATTTTCATTAAAATACACAACCACATGACGCTTACAAACAGTAATTGCTATTTTAAGCTAATTCAGCTTTTCCGGGACTAATTTTTGATTATGGCAACTAAACTAGAGATTATCGGAAGATATAACGACAATTAAAATTCTTCATTCACAACTAATATTTGGAATCACAACTGAAAAATTCTTTAAAGATTACAATTGTTACGTCATCTTTGACCTTTTTCTGATTGGTCATCGTTACGGAAATAAACAACGAAATCGATGCTCGGGGAAACGTCCATGGTCATGACGTTAACTTAACTTAGGTTGGCAGTTTACCAATCCCATGGAACGAAATTTCATTCACTATAGTATAGTTCAGTATAGTACACTATCATCAAATGCTTTCAATTCTCACACTTTCAGGAATAACCGAGATCGACCACGATAGCTCGAGTGGATATCTTGAATACTATGACAGTTCTTACAACAAAAATATACAAGTTGATTATGACGTATCAATGGATCAAATCATTGCCGTGATGAATGTTTCACAATATTGTGAACAATACATTGAAGTTAGTAAAAGCTGAATTAAATGTTCTATATAATATATCTATCTTGTAAACAACGTGAACAAACTCAAATATGGACACACAAAAGTCGGCTCATACTTGACTGGGCTGAAAAGATTGACAGTCACGTGTGGCGAAGGCGGTCAATCGTGTAGGAATAAAAGAGTTCCCCCTTAAATAAAAATCGGCAAAATCTTGGGCGAAAAATTGAGTCCCAAAGATAATAGTAGTTAGTGATTGATATTCATTTTTTTCTGATTTATTTCAGTGGCGTTGTTCCAGAACCAGGATGTTATACAATGGCAAAAACTGGTGGCTGTCACGTGATGGAGACAAAATGAACTACTGGGGAGGAGCTGCTCCAGGGCATGATGGATATTGTGGGTGCGGAGAAACTGGTAGGAGCGTAAACTACCTAATTGTGTAAAATAAGCCTGCTACAAAATCTAAGGCTTAACAAAATTCCCCATATTACAGGATCATGTCTGCCCGGAAGTAGTTATTATTACAAATGCAATTGCGACTACATCAGTAAGAGTGACAGCACTTACCGTGTTGATGGAGGATATCTATACGATAAAAGTACTCTGCCTGTGACTGGCATGACATTTTCATTAGATTACTATACATATGACTACGACTACTATTACGGTTATACTTATTATTACTCGAAAGGATACTACAAACTTGGAAAACTTAGATGCTATTAAACCAACAAACCGGCGTGGATATGTCTTAATGCTCAGTGCTTTTGTTTGTGTTGAATGTTGAGGTAAAAAATATAATAAACCTGAGCTCTATACAATTTGGATATTTGTTGTTGAGTACTGAAAAATATCTCGGGTACACGAAACTATAAAACCGATAGTCATCATATTCTGGGAGTTAGGCTACTAATTGAAAACAATTGATGTTCAAATATTTAGATACCAAGGTTCAATGCCTAAAAGCAATAATAGCCTATTCCGCCGACATACGAATATGATGGTTCACATCAAATTTAATCCAACCGCCGTGAGGCCATAGTGGAGCAAAGGCCGACGGATAGAGACGTAGTGGCGCATGATACGTAAAACAACTTAATTTACGGGTAAAATATCGAGATCCATAAAAAAAAAGAATGATAGCTTTTAACATCTTTTTTAATTCATTACTGATGAAATTTTAAATCCATAGGGTCATTAGTAAAGAAAATCAATTTTTTTAAATCGTTTAGAAGTCAACTGCCGACGGATACCGATTCTGCAAAAGATATATTGTTATAAAAGGCGAAACCAGAAAAAATGGTTGGTGCAGAAGCAACTTTCCAAATCCCACATCTAACTAACAAACAAACCAAAAAAATGGAAATGTATAAAAATTTATAATTCTGAAGACAAGGTTAGCACACCAATACTCTACCTTACAATACAAAAAAAAAGAATTTTCATGTCACGTCTTATATATCAATAAATTAAAATAAAGAAGTGTTGAAAAAATGGGAGAAAAGCACAACGAGAAAAGTTGAGCTACTCGCTAGCTCACTTTTTTACAAAAACAAAAAATAATTTTGTGATGGTCACAGACGAAAAGTAACTTTGGAAGTTTTGTGATCCTTCATAGTCAGAACAACAGGTCCTTCAACTGATATGAAATATTTACAATGCCTCAATACGGAATCCCAACATTTTATAAACTAAAAACCTACGCTAAACACAGTGTACTTGATATGCAAAATAAAAAAATTTTAACTTTGTATTATATTTCCTAAAAAAGATAATACATTTCCTCTACATAAATTCATTCTATCTTGTTTGTATTCCATTCGTAGACCAGAAATTGAACCCATAAAACAAATAAAACGGAAAGCATACAAACTATTTTGAATAGACCAATTTTCTGATATTGATAGATTCCTCGGAAGCTTTCAGTCGTCGAAATCCGAAACAGCAGACATTCTGCCACCATCTGTATCCCTGATTACAATTACAAAAAAACACTGATATCAATCTGCAAATCCTTCCTGTAATTCTGTGAATGCCGAGGTAATTCTTTTTAACTTAGCTTCCATATTTTTCTTCTGTCGATCAGCATCTCGTAACACTTCTCTCATTTCTTCTTCTACTGAGTGAACCTGAATTGTTAATCCCAAGGATAACATATTTCGTCGGTTGAACATAGCGACAGTTGAACCAAGAATGGCCAAAATCGAATAATTTACTATTTCTAATTGTATATAGAAATTTGAATATAGGATATCGAATATATATTTAAAATTGCTTCATTTACATCAGAAAAATTTTACATAAATAATTTTTACTATTACGTTGTAAATTTCGAATTGTGTCAAAACATAATTTCTCACTATTTTCTCACTTCGCCAAAATTTAAAATTTCGAGAACGATACGAGAAAATACTCTTCGGAAAAAAGCTGTTTTTCATCTCAATAAACCATAAACTGGGAATTCGTACCATGAAAAAATTTCTCAATATATCTATATCATTGGTTAACAAGATTCAAATTACCTTTCTCTTCATTACTTCTAATTCATTATCATGATTCTTTTTCATTCTCCGCATTTCTTCTTCATGAGAACAATTTGCTGTTTCTAATTGTTCTCTGAATGCACCATCTACTCTTTCCATTCTTTCAGTGAGTAAGCTAGAAAAAGAAAAATTGTGATTTGTAACTATAAGACTAATTAGATTAAGTACAACAGCAAGATAAATTTTTGTACAATTGCTTCAATAAACATTTACCATGGCTTGTTTGAATGTGTGCATATGTGGATACGTTTTGTTAAATTGTTGTTGTTGTTATTCGTCTTGTCAGTATGCTTGGAACTGTTGTTGGTAAGTTGTTTAAATCGCTTTCAATTTGGTTTTGACCACAATGCAAGACCTAGAATTCCTGGGCTAATATGTGTCCGCATTTATTACTGAATCATTTGTATTTCTGCTGCTCGTGTGTGACCGGCATGTATTATCAAAATCCTCCAAAGGTTTCCGATATGGCGAAATTACCTATCTTATCAACTAACTCCAATATTCCAGTACAGTACTTAAAGTTGAAAGAGGTCCATTAGATTTATCTCACCAGCGATGTATAGAAAGTAGATTCCAGTCAAGTATTTGAGTAACATAAGTTTATCACAACTTACTGTTTAGCTGAGATTGCTTCATCTCTCTCTTTAATCAACTTCAACTCCTTTTTATCAAAAGTTTCTTTCATTTGCCGAACTTGAAGCTCAACTTGAGATAAAACTTGTCCTTTTTCAGCCCATTTTTTCACCAATTTGCTATTAAACAATTATAAATACAATGTCAAGTACAAAGGACACTTGAGTCCCAATCAAGAAAGTAATCATGTTCAGCATCACAAGCAAATTGTATTTAATTTTGTAAGCTACGTCAAGATTAAAATTTCAATCCCATAAACCATGAACTGATTTAGGGCCGTGAAGTCAGGAGTTGGGAGTTTTTACGGGGCACCTGGGGGTCCCATATAATCTCTGGTGGGGGTTGTTAGTTGGTTAGTTGCCAGGCCACCGATAATAAAGTACCGTGAAAAAAAAAAATTTCCCCATCATGTATCAAGTTTAATCAGATATTACTCCTTTGAGTGTTGCTGCCAGCTTTTGTTCACTGCTACTTTTCTCACCCATGTGAATTTAGTCAAAACCTATTAGGTTTCCATTATTACTAATTTGCCAGCATAAATTTATACTTCTAATTCATACCATTCCTAAAATAAAAGACAAAATCACACTTCCATGCAAAAAAACTAAAAAAAAAAATTTTCCTGATTAATAAATCCCCTGATGTTTGACTAATCTCTTGCCTAAAACCTTGTTTAGGGCAAAAATGATAATTTTAAAATCAAAGTTTCACCAATGTCACTCATTTACCTGTGAACCTGTTTTAAATTATCAAATTCTTTTTCAGAATCTAAAAGTTGTTCTTTTAATTCTTTCTTTCTGTCTTCTAAGATGTTGTTTCGTTCACTGAGTGATGCATTATCCTGTTGTATAAAAGTGCTAAATTAAAACCAAATACTTGAAAAATAATGCTAACCAAAAAAGATGTTAGTTTAGGCTTAAAATCTAGGTGAACAAGTTTGGTCAGTGGCGGTAAAGTATGGTGGAATAAAAAGTGTTCCCATTTAAATTAAATAAAACAGCTAAACTTTGTGTAAAATATCGGATTCCATAGGACAAAGAGTGAGTTGAAGAAATTTCAAAAAGTAATAAATAGCCTTATGGTGACTTCTTTCATCTTTTAGTAAAAATTAGTATCTGAGATAAGCGATTATTTCTCAGCAACAACAAAATATTAGCAAAACGATCCATAAGTCCACTTCATGTCCAATAATTCTAAATTATCAAACAGATTGGTCAAGAATATTCCCAACAATAATAGAAAATTTGCCGCATAATCACATTTAGTATTTCCCCACCAAAAATCAGGAAAATCACAAAAATAAGCTCATTTATCATAACCAAATCATAATTTTTTAAGAGTTTTAAAATAAAATTCACATGTAATGCATCCTCGATATCTTGCTCGAGTTTTTTCTGCAAATCAAGACTCTCTTGTTGTATTCGAGACATTTCTTGATCTTTTTCAACGAGTGCCTAGCAAAACAAGAAATTTATTAGGAATCACAAAGGTGAGTCAATTGTGCAGTGACTAGTGAGTGAGTTACTTGAGTGAGTTTATTTAGACATTTCATGCATATCTGCGTAAATGTAAAAACCAATTCTAACTCTGGATTGACAATGATTTTCACTCGCAGTCACCTTCATGTCAGAGTTTTAGAAATTAACTAATAAGTCCAATTTTATCTATGAGTAACATATTTTCGACAAAAAAACATCAATCCATTAGCCATTAGGTTTACATACTTGAAGTATACCAATTCAAAAAAAACATGAACGGTAATGAAAAATGATTATTATATTCGAGGCCAATATTGTCTCTAACAGTGGTTTTCAACATTTTTGTAGAGTGAAATAAATAATAAAACACTCCTCAGATTTGAATAGGAACCTGCGGCCAGAAACAGAACTGTACTGCCAGAACCCTAGGGTGTTGTGGAATCTAGATTGACACACTAGATAAATAAATACTACATGAATATACTTGAAACATTACCTCTTTCATATTATGGATAGTATCTGTTTGATCGTCGACTATTTTAGTTTTAATTTTCAGAGCGTCAAGATCTCTTTCATTTTGTTTTCTCATCGATAAAATCTCTTGCATCAAACTTTCTATTTTAGATTCCAATCTTCCACGATCTTGTGCTAGTGACGCACCTTGGATGGAAAATCAGGCATATTTATTTATATTCACACTTAACAAGGATCAAGGATGGAAGGGGACTCAAGTACAAAATTTCTTATTTCATTTTTTCAGTTTGCAAAAGAATAGATTGAAAAATCGAATGAACAATGTATTATTGCATTACAATTGATAATGTCCCATATTCTCCACAGTTGAATCGGACAAGAACACAAATTATATTTATATAATTACAAAATGACTGAAAGAGAGAACAAAACATTTGTTTTTATAAAGTTAATAAAGAAAATAGAGCAAAGTTATACCAGAAAAAGATTACAGTATTAAACGCCACGTTTTAAAGTTTTGAAAAAAAAAACTTATTTATGTAATTGTTTGATTGAAGGATTCGAACCTAATAATAAACACTTAAAATCACCACTTAAAATCAAACATAAAACAGGTACAGTTTTGAAACCCAAATCAAAAGATGGCCTCTGATCCATAATAAAAGAAGGTTAAAAAGTCTATTTCTGAAAATTGCGACATGAGGTACTTTGTTTTCACTGCGTTGTCATCAGATACATCCGATATCCGATCAGAAATCAAAAAATGAAGATGAAGGAGAATAATAAATATCAAGGAAAAACAGACATTCCGTGTTTGAGTGTGCCCCAAATATCAGATTTGAATGTAATAGAATAATATAAAAATAAATCAAGTAAAAGAAGTTTTCTATGGTCTGAGTGTGTACTAATACTAATATAGAACCAATTACCTTGTTGTGCAAGTTCATGACCCCATAATTTTCTCTCATCTCTCAAACCATCAACTACAGATTGTACTGCAGCAAGTTGTGAAATAAGTCTTGATTTCTCTTGTTTTACTAACTCTAACTGAACACCTTTCTTACGACCTTCTTCAGCAGTTATTTCAAGGTTCAAAATCCTTTCCTAAAAAAAAAATATTTTATTTTTGAATAAATTATAATAAGTAATGTTTGTTCAAACTTCTCCACCCTATTTCTAGAAAAGTCTTTATAAGTGCACCATAAGGCAGGAAATATGGATTCATCTCTTCGACTCAAATCTGTACTCCAGGAGTGTGTCTACCAGGTTAAAACCAGGTTATAATTTTATTACAATTTTCCCTATTTTAGTCCTATTACGAGTTCGGGGACTTTCTGTGTTAGCCAAGTGAATATACCCACTGCCCATAGGTTTCATTCCCTTTACACAACTTGATGTTAAAATTAGTTACCTCTGTACTGGTACACACACTTCTGGAGCGCCCACAAATCTACCCAAGTACATTATACTTTCAATAAGACATTTCTATTCACTTTAGATTTACTTATTCAATATTTACATAATTGAAAAACTTTCTAAACTACAGAACAGAGCTGTATGGATTTTAAAAAAATCAACCTTATATTGTTGCAGTATCTCGTGCTTGCTTTTTGATAGTTCCATAATTTTAATTTTTTGTTCCTTAGCAACAGCTGTCAGTTCAGTGATGATTGACCTTGATTTTTCCTCTTTTTCTTTAGTTCTACGATATGCAACCTGTATTCTTTCCAATTCCCCGGAACATTGGGTGTATTGAGCATCAGCCTGAAAATACAGAATACAAAATAGGTGAACACCTTTATTATTTATCGATCTTGATCGGTAAGTATGTTGATAGGTATTTGTCTGTTTGTCTGTCTGTCTGTTAGATGCCCACGATATCTCACGAAAGCGAGGTTGAATCTGCTCCAAATTTTGCATGTGCATTAATCGTATCTCGGACCAGAAGCCTATTGATTTTGGATGAATTATGTCGTATAATTAGCGAGTTAATAATTAATTAGTGATGGGACACGCGGTGTCACTATAGAGTCATGAATCGAAACCGCAGTTTCGATCGATAAGTCTTCGGTCTCCGACCGATATTCTCGTTGTGTAGTTGAGAGCTAAAAACTTTTGAGTCCGGGTAGATTTAGCCCTGGTCGCAATATTTCACAATAGACTACCGGTGAACAGTCTCCACGACTTCGCCTGACCACCAGACCACAACTAACGTGAGGCGGAATTGCCACAAGGTGGACAATTGGTAATTTTGATGACGTCATCGCTCACAAAATGAATCCCATAGAGCCCACAGAAATGTTTGAAATAACTAGAAGTAATAGCCTTCTGGTGAAAGATACAATCTTTAACCACTGAAAATTTCGAAACAACGCAATTTTTCCACAACAACAAGAAGAAAAATACTAACCAGAAGAATAACAACATAATAACAAAACGATCTATATGTAGGCTTACACTTTGTGTTCAATAACAATACTTGTCAATTTGATTTGCAAATGGATATACCGAGTAAGTGGCAAACTCAAATTTCCAGTCTTTGCGATCAAATAGTCCTATATATTAACTAATAATGCATAATAATAGTTTAGACTAGTTTGACTATATAGATTTCAATATTTTTTTTATACTTTTTCATATCTGTTTGCTTCAATATGCAATGCTTGTCTGAATTCATCTTCCAACTCAGTGTATTGGTTTCGTAAAGTTACGATACATTGTTGGAGAGATTTGATTTCTTCTCGGTGTCGTTTTTCTTCCCTGTTAACTTCATGGGAAACTGCGTTTCGAAATTCCAAGCTATCTGCAGTGAACATATTCTCAGTTTCTTTCCTGTGTATATAGGGGAACACTTAATTTTTCTGCATGGATACTTATTTTAATTTCGAAGAGTCAAGAAGTAGTTTCATAATTGAATTAATTAGAGTCATTCTATTTATGACCACATAGCAGCAAAGGTAAACAATTTTCACCCCATTTACCAAGATTAGCTAAGTCTAATTTCAGTACAGGCTTAGCTATAGAAATGTGATCAATTTATCAATAAATGAAATTGCCAAAACAGATGATTCTAATCCGATTTCAATTGGATTTTATTACCATGTCAATAATCCCAAGGCACTGAAGGCATGGCATTTATGTTCTGCCATAGTTTCCTATAACACTGGATGTCCCTAAAATATCTTCACAATTTCAAAAATTTATCACAAAGTCAAATAATGAAGAGCGATTTTTTGGACATTCTGTATATTTCCCCAAAGCTCAGTTACTTTGAAGTTGATCACCACATTCAAAAACAGTTATCAAGACCCATATACCTATGTTCTTGTTCTCTTTTAATTAGAATTTCTTGTAATTCCTGTATGCGATGTTCTAATTTTGAATTCAATGATTTCTGAATTTCGACTTCTCTCATAGATGCAGACACTTTCATCTCGTATTCATGCATTTTCTTTGCCTTGGAATGAATAGTTCAAATTTAAATCTGTGATTATCATTTTAGATTCATCCGAGGGGAGATGAAAGTAAGACAAGTAAGACTTATTCATATGATGTATCAGGCATCTCGTCCAGTTACCAGTGCATACCAGGTATGGAATTAGTTCACAAGTTATTTATTTCAGATGCATGGAATCATGGTGGAGGAAGCCGCAACCGACCAGCGGTTACATGAATCACTCTATGGCAGTGGAGAGCCAAGCAATCGTCTTACACACGAATATCCTCCACAGGATTCGAACTTGCATACCTACATCAATGCCACAGCAAAAATATTCTGATCTTTACAGGAATTGTATCGTCCTACCTGTCAGTAAACGATTGTAAATAAGAATTGTCTAAGAGTATTTTACTAAGGAATAATATCATTAAAATTAATGATTTTTTTCAATTTTTGGTTTGCGATTTTTCAGAACAAAATAACAGTTTCTGATTGATACCAAACATTCGTTTTTCTACCTGGGTTGCTGATATTTTTGATCTATCTGAGGAAACCTTCGCTAAATTTGTTTCCATCATGTTCAATGATTGTTGTTGTTCTTCTATTGTTTTCTTACACGATGCCATTTCATCAGACATTTCAGCCAGTTTTTCCTGCAAAAACAGACCAAAGAACAAAGTTATAGTTTTTTATAAATATGATTGTTCAAAAAAAAGGTCGAGAACAGCATAAGTACCAAAGAAACAACACAGGAACCAACAAAGTCCCAAACACGAGGAAATTTGTCATCGAAAAATGACCCAAAAGCTCCGCTTTAAAATATTGAAAATTAAAAAATGGAATATTTGGAATTTTAATTTTTTTTTGATAATTTTCTCAAACCTAGGCAACCTACCTGAGTGACTCAAACTGAGAAGTGAGAAGTAAAGAAAACACAACTGAGTGACTCACACTCATAGATTCATAGAGGAGACTCATCCAAGTGAATCACATTCATAGGTGGAAATCACCTGACTCGCACTCAGAATGAATGAAACTCACCTTTAAACAACTCACTCTCTCTAAGTGACTGCCCCTCAAAAAAGCATAAACCCACTCAAATGAATCACACTCACAAGTTGAGGAAACTCACGTTTTAAAATGAAAAGGTAAATATGGCGGTATATCAGGAGTAGAACACGATGAATAATTAAAATCAGTTTATGTAAACATTTGAGAAGAGGAAAATACTCTCAAAAGAATTTTCATTTAAATATTGAAAATAATTTATAACAACATACTTTGTATTCTAATACTTCATTCTTCATTTCATCTGTATTTTCTCTTTCTTTCAATAATGCTTGCTTCAACCTTTCTGCCGTTTGTGCGGCCATATCCTAAAATATTAAATAGGCCTATACATGAGCATACTTTCAATGTGTAAACAAGCGAGTGACAAACTAAACACATACTAGATTGAAAGAAGTTAATAAACGAACACTCACCTGTAAAGATTTTCCCTCAATTTTATCCGAATTCATGTCTCGAACAAGTTGAGCTAATCTTTTTGCAGCTTGCTCTGATTTCCATCTTCTCTCTCTTTCATTTTCAAGCTCTTTCACTAAGTTCTGAAAAAAAGGAGATTCCCTGTGTTCAAATATGCATTCAAAATATACAGTGAATCTTTCCACTTGGATGCATATTATTAAAATATATATCAAGCATAACTTGAGGTTGATAATCCAGAGATGGCAAATCTCAAGTCCGATTTAAAAACACACATCAATCTAGTAGAGTGGATGCTAAACCTTTTTTATGAAATGTCTCACTTTGTCTATTTCGAAACTCTTTATTCCTCCTTAATAATACTGCAGCGAATACAAAACAGAATTGATGCCCGAAAAGGACAAAATTTCTCTCCGGTTGGGATATGTTGATCTAGTATTTTGCGTTTTGAATAATGAATTGTTAGCTAGTTACATACCCTAACTGGACAGTTAGATGTGACCCAGGGATGGTCAAAATCAAATAATCGACTATTTCAAACACGTTTTAAAGCAGGGGTCGGCAAACTACCGCCTGCGGAGTAAAATAATGTGACCCGCAAAGCTTCACTAAATTATAGTGACAAAACGGCAGTTTCAGCGTTGAAATAATTTTATAATGCACGCTCAAGGCGTTGATTATATTCTTGGCGTAAAAAATTTAAACCTGACAATTTAGTGAACAGCGACTCATTTAACGAGCCTAAAACTTATCTATAAATAGACAAATGGCATCACGCAGAAAATATGATGCAAAGGGTTCAATGGCGCATGAAATATTCGAATAGAGCTACGATGCAATGAGGAAATAAAATCCATATGCCATCCGACAGATGTATCACTGCTTGATTTTCATAAAAAGTATCCTCTTGAATGATCTAATCTTTATCCAAATTCGACAAACCATATGAAAAAATTCACATCGATGTTTGGAGGTACATATGTGTGCGAACAATTATTTTCCAAAATTAACATTACAAAGAACAATCTGGAAACTCGGATTAGTTCCGTCCCCTCCCTCTGGATAAATATGTAAATCCTATCATAAATCTATAAAAACATTGAATAAAAAATATTCAACAAATGATATACTCTCAATAACTCACCAGATAAGTTTCTTTTTCTTCTGGACCAACATGTCGAGTAACAAGTCGAGCGGATTTGGATTCTCCAGATTGTTTTCTTAGAGGTACTTTAGATTGTGTTTTTTTCTCTGAACTATTGGCACAAATAAATAAGAGAATCTAAATGAATATTTTCATACTCATACATTTTAGAATATTTATATACAATTTTAAATTAAAAGTGATTAATCTGCACAATAGAGTAAACGAGAATATCGGTCAGAGGCCGAAGACTTATCGATCGAAAGTTAGGGCCTAGGGGATCCCCCAAAACAGCGCTCTTACTTCATAGTGACACCTTGTGTCCCATCACTAATTAATTAATAACTCGCTAATTATACGACATAATTCGCCCAAAATCAATAGGCTTCTGGTCCGAGATAAGATGAATGCACATGCAAAATCAGGTTCAATCTCGCTTACGTGAGATATCGCGTGCATCTAACAGACAGACAGACAAATACCTATCAACATACTTACCGATCAGAATCGAGAAGTAATTAGAAAATTTCGAAATGAAATAATTCATAGAGAATTTAAGAATACCAAACTATTTAAAATTGTACTACTAATGCCTCAAATGCAGGATAATTAGCATAATTAACATGTCCATTATTATACCTTAGTTTTTGTCTTGCACCCAATCCATGCTGCTGAAATCTTTTGACTGGTCTGATAATCTTTTGTTGGGGCGATGACGAACTTGCCTCCGTACTAGAATATACAAAGAAACAAACATTCAATGGCTTCAATTGAGCCTTTAATTGAGATAAAATAATATATTTTGTATATAAAAGTTTTTCTAAAATTGATAAAATATATTAGCCTTTCATGATATGGTCGCTGGTCAGTTATGACCTCCACCACCAAGTCCATGCATCTGGAACAAATACCTGGCAAACTAGTCCCATACCAGACATGGACTGGTAACTGGATAAGCGTCTTAGCAGCTGTCCTTTCCTCCTTGATAAATATGTAAATCCTACCCTATGAATATCAAATCCACAGTTCCAAATAGACCATAAGAAATAATATTTTGAAAACTATAATTATCAGACATGTCATATTTTTAATCAGTCAAGAGAGGATAAAGGAATTATTATATATTTGAATATTCACTCCAGAAATAAACCAGTAATGCTCAGACTGCTATCCATGGACAGTATGTTTACATACTGCTATGCCTGTTTATATTAAAAAAAAAATAATAATTCATATGCACAAAGGAGGTCTAAAATATTCATCAATAGGATTTTTGAATAAATTACTACTATTACTAATACGATACCAGATTAAAATTTGAAATGCATCCCAATTTTTGATTCATTTTGAACAATATTTAATTGTATCATGAATATCCTGAAACAATGATAATATTTAACAATCAAAATGCAATACTCAAGTATACATGTGTTAATGACCGAATAAATTAGCACTAAATACCAATTACCTGATTATATTATTCCCTGACTGTGATTCAGTAGTGACCTGTTCTTTTTGAGTCTTCGTTGATTTTTCCTGTCTTGCAGCAACCAGATGTGCAAGTTGATCTTCAAGATATTTTAAACGAGCTTCTTGATCTACCTGCACATCCTAATAAATAGGCAGCTTTCATAAAAAATTGTATACTATAGGACCGGGGTGGGCAACCTGCGGCCCTCGAGCCAAATGCGGCCAACAAAGAAAAATTGTGGAGAAGTGCCAATTTCGAATGATGCGGCCCACGAAACGATTTTAGTTTAACCTGGTACATGCAGGTAATCCCAATCCCCTTGCATTACAAACCCTATACCTGAGTCCAATCTATTATCTATTTATTCCTACTAGAAAGCCTATGTTAAATAAAGTTGTGGGCTTGTGGCCCCAGTTTCTTCCAGGTATTTGTATCTGGCCCTCTGTATCTGACATCACAGAGAGACGGACAGTCGGACAGTCTGTCTAAGATTAGTTGCATACAGAATTTGTAATCATTTTATGAAAATGTGGTAACAAATAGGATTTTCATTTATCCAATGGGGGAGAAAATCTTTCATCTGGTTACCAAACAAGCCAAATATGGGAACAGTTAACTAGAACTAGAACAGATGTATGGACAAAGCTGATTACATGAACCATCCACTCTACAATGGCTAGGAGTCCAAAAGTAGCCCTGTTGCACATAATTATCCACCAGAAGATTCAAACCTGCAAACGAGCGCAATTAGACAGAGGTGTACGGTGGCCTAATGCCTAGCATGATGACATACATAACTGTAGAGCCATTGCTAACAAAGAAGACTCAAATTTGATGATCGTTTACAATAAGACTGCTGGACTTCATCTCATCTGGAATCCTGGATCCAGGATTTGGTTAGCTATACTTTTACTTTTCAATATGATATGCTATGATTAATCAGTGTTATTGCTTATGAAATAAAGATATAATTATAATTTGTCAGAATACAGTAATTTGAAATATGTATCTGGTAGCAGAGTCTTTCATATTTTTTACAAGATATAATCTCTAATAATCCTGAAGTTACCTTTTCTGGTGTAAGTGTTGGGTTTTCTTCTGATGTGGGTTTATTGCAGACCATCGAAGAAATAATTGATTCAATTGAATCCTCATCCTTTGCAGCACAACCATTCTGAGGTCTGTTTGAATAATAACAACAGTTGCAAGTTATATTATCAGTCATTTCAATTACAAATCTTTATATAAAATTATCCCAAATTATAAGGATAGAGCCTAAAATAATAATCCCAGGATAAAATCCTGCTATAATATATTGTTTAGGTAATGTCGCACCAATTCCGGTTTTTAACAACAATCCTTATCCTTATCTAACAGCGGTGGCTTATGTAGAGCCTTGCTCAGAGTAGAAAAACTAACAAATATCTCACCTTGATTTGACTTTACATAAAACTGCATCAATATTTGGAGTTTTCATTTTTATTGTAGATTTATCAGGAGATGATTGTGACTGACTGCTGCTAAGAGGATCTGAAGTAAACTGTCACAAAACAAAAGCAGCAAAGTTAAACCTTGTTTTATGCAATAAATAAAATAGGATCAGTGCAGATATTGGAGTCATAATTTTTTTACAACCAGATGAACGTGAAAACTGAGAAGTCACATTCATGCATGACATACATTAATTTTTTGTACAAACAGCACTAAAAAGCAGGGATAATATGCCCATTGATCAATGTCCAGCCATACCAACCTACCTAACATACTACAACAATGGGGATGGGGCATGGGTATTAATCTGAGACTTCAAACCTGTTATCAGGGCTGGAGAGCCGGAGCCTGAAGCTGTTGCATTTTTTAACATTTAGTTGGAGTTGTAGCCCAGTATACCATAATTGATGCAGATGAAGCTTAAAGAAATTTTAGTGACTTTAGTACATAACCATCTACTTATGTCACATTCATAAATTTCCAATATCAGATGAAAATTCAGAAATTTGAGCTTTTCAGAATAAATTTTTCTAAATACTTAATTTCCAATGCTAATTTGAAAGCTCATTTTGATTTGATTAATATAAATTTGCAATTTCAATTAGAAACTTGAAACCCTTAAATAATGATTTGAGTCCCCGTGCCTCAAAATTGACTTTGGGCTAATGTTTTATGGTTGGGGTCATAATAAAAAACATCAATGGCTGTGGAGTTGAAGCCCAGTTTCAAGGTTAAAAATAGGCTGAGGTTCCACAGCCAGATCCATTGTGATTTTAAACCTGTCTGTCTCCCAGCGCGATCTATGATGACAATGACAACATACATAAAAAATTACCTCTACATCTCCCAATGATAAATCTAATTCTAGCATTTCCATTATATTGTCAGGAGTTTGAAGCATAGGTAAATTGTTTCGATCCAACTTATCTAATGAAGATAACTGAGGGAGGAGATTCAAAATTTGACTTCTGTAATCTGAAAGCAAATTGAGATGTTTTGGTAAATAGTTTCAATGACTTAACTGGATGACACATCTCTAAAAAATGATATTTTGAAATTATTTAAGCAGAATTTAAAATTAAAATAGGAAAAAATAGTTTCAAAAATTCCAATTTTTCAGGAAAATTTACTCCAAGCACAAAAATGCATAATCTTTTGAATGAGGCACCCATACCTTTGAGGGCTTGGATGTATTTAAAAATTTTCAGAATTTAAAGTTTAGCTGTTGCGCAAATATTCATTGACACATTACTTGAAGCAGTTCAGATTGATATGGTAAAAAAATTATTGCTTTCAAAAGTATCATGCATATTTTCAATCTAAATTTGAGTTAATATTAATATATCTCATTTGAAAAATATCCCTTTTTAAATAAACTTTTTCTAAAAGAGATATACTATGCAAATGTGGCCAACCTTTTTCTTTGCACACTGGATTATCATGTTGATCATCAAAACTAAGAATGAGATGTCGTAAAGGTAATATTCCTCGTAGATGTGGTGTAACATCCGAGATATTTGAAATCTGGTTGCCATGGAGTTCAATTGATTGAAGTTTATATCCTGGACCTAGAAAATAAAACCAAAAATTATCTAATTTTGAATCAAAACATAATTTTAATATGATAACTTGACATGATTAATTTGATAAAAGACATGATTTTTCATTTGGTAATTAAGGTAGCATTCGTAGCAAGCTCAAGAGTTTACACCCTTTCTCCAAAGCAACTAAGCTTATATTGATAATTAAGCAGATTTTTGATAATAAATATTATTAAACAAAGAATAGTACAAGTCATGAGTTCGATTTCGCTACTTACACCGCATTGCTACAAGGTGTGTATAACTCAAGAAAACAAATGAAATAGTGCAAAAATTTCTTCCTCTCTTAATAATTATCAGAAATGAGTATTTCAATGGCCTAGGGCAGGGCTTTTTTGTCAGTGGACCAAATAACTAACCTCAGACATATAGCCGGGCCACACATAAAAAATTGAGCAGGAAAGGCAAGAGAAAAGAAGCAGCTATCGCTGAGGCTTACAATAATAAATGCCTGAGGCAACATGGTGATTGGCGAAACATTTAACACAGTGTCGACAGCGACAGTGAACTGTCGGATTAGAATTTCATGCTTGATGGGGAAAAATCTAGGTGTTGATCCCCAAGGGTCACATTAAATGGCTTGGCAGGTCGGGTCGTGGCTCGCGGGCCGCCTGTTACACACCCCTGGCCTATTGGTTGGAGCGTTAGGTACACCTGTGTTGGCATCACAGGTTTCAAACTATGCCAATTACTTCATTGGGGTCTAGTGAAGTGAACGCCGTTAATCTGGTGCTCAGTGACAGACAAGTTTAGTTAATATCAAACCCAATCAATTTTCAACTAATGCTAAATATGGTATAACGTTCCATGCAAGACTGGCTTTTATTTGAAAAAATAGAAATAAAAAACTGTAGCAGTATTTTCACATCACATTTTTGTTTGCATTATTTAAGCACTTGTGGCGGGTACTTCCAGTGTGCAATAAATGAAGTAGCTAATGATTCTCAATATTAGCTCATTATATTGTTACTAACTGCCTCGATTTTAGCCATTCATTCACTTACCATTCATTTCACTGAATCCTCTCAACGTTTTTATTTTGTTGTATGAAAGATTTATTGATGTTAAATTGACTAAAGTTCTAAGTCCTTGAAGATCTGAGATATGATTGCAGGCCAGATTCAACACACAAAGAGATGAGAGACTTTGTAAGCCTGACAAACTTTGTATTAGATTTGATGACACATCAAGATCCTAGAAAAAGAAAATTATATTTATAAACTTATTTCGACGATTAAAATATAATCATGCAAAGTATGAAATATCAAACCATTGACAATCAAGCAATCACAATTGTCTGAAGGCAGAAATGGAAGTTTCCACTCTTCTCATTCTTAAACTCGATAACTCTAAATAAGGATGGTATGCTCAAGATACCTCAAGAGCCTGACATGGGTACTGGTATTCAAGTATTTGGGAAAGTTCTGGATTTTTGAATTGAATTTGAATGTCAATGCTAGCTTCCGTTGTTGTTCTTTGCTAAAAAAATAAATTTTTCCCTTCTGCTGTTCTGTAAATCGGATTATTTTTTCCCCGAAGAATTCAATGATGACGTTATTAGATTGCGCTTTTTTGTAGCATTTTGCGTAACTTCATTATACTGTATTATTTCCAATATTGAGGGACATCAGTGTCCAGACGTCTCCCAAAGGAGGGTTGTTTGATCATCGGTAAAATGGGTTTATCTGAAACGAGACAATGTCGCGCGATCTGTATAGTGTGCCGTACTGGTGGAGGAAGCCGTAACCGACCAGCAGTTACCGTGCGTTGACCACTCTACGGCAGCAAAAAGTCCATCAATCATCTCGCACATAACCATCCCAGCCACATGGGATTCGAACCTTCATGATGAGCCACACCGTGAAGCCGCGTAACAGCTCAAAGGCCTAAAAATTAAACTAAACATTTCAAAGTTGAAACTTCCAATCACAATGACATGCCTGGTACCGGTATTGAAAATACTGACCTTCAATTTCCGAAGATTTTGCAATCCTGAAAAATCTCTGATTGAGTTGCTATGAACATTGATCGATGTAACATCCTCGTGCAAACACAACGAATGAAAAGCCGATATATTAGCTTTTATCGCGCAAACTTGACTGGATAACGACATTTCACTAGTCTATTTACTAATAAAACAATCACCTCACTTTAACTCGGCTGCAAAAGTGAAAGCAGAATGAAAGCGATTGTTTACAATTTAGTTTCCAAATCAACCGCCGCTGACTCTCTGGCGGTCTCTACTGACGATATATCAATAGAGAGAGAAGGGGAGATTTATTATTTAGTCCAGGTGTCCGCAACTACGGGGTCGCAAACCAAATTTGGGTCGCGAAGCCCTCCATCGCGTTTGTGTAGCGTATTTATGTATAACAACTTTATAAATCTCCGATTATATTTGGGAATGTTTCCCCGAGTATACACTTCCTTATTTACTGCCGTAGGCCAATGGACCTTTCCCCGACCTTTGACCCCCGAAAAATTCTTCCTATACTTTACCATTGCAAAATTTTCGTGGCTTTTTTAGGAGTGCTTTTGCGAGTTGGCGCCTGTAAAATGGGGTATGTGTTTCAAACCATCATTATGATTCATCGAATACAACAATCTGTTTTTTGAAAGTACCGGTAAAGAATTTCAGGCTAGTCTATCACAGCTATTTCTACACTAATTTTTATTACTGCAATCAAATTAAAACCCCTAGGAAGACAGAGTGATCATTGAATTATCTGATTTATATTTAAGTTTCCGAAACACAACTGAAAACTAACTAATAAAGTTCAAAAACGCGAAAACGAGGTACTGTTTACAACCACACTTGAAAATCTGTCTGAGGGAGAAAATTGTCTGAGCGGATGCGAAAAAGGGGCATTGTTACGTCACTTTTGCATCTTGCTGATTGGCCAATGTCACGAAGTAAACAAGGAAAACGATGCTCGGGGAAAGGTCTATTGATCAGCATAAGTGCAAAATTGGAGTAACAATACACGTTTCAGAAGCGCTCAGATACTTTTTCCATTCAGACAGTCTTTCGTGGTTGTGAATATTATCTCGTTTTGGCGGTTTTCGCGTGTTGTGTGTTAGTTTTTAGTTGTGTTTTGGTAAATATAAGTCCTATACTGGCAAAACCATTCTTGAAATAAGTACCAATAATTTCGCAATGATAGAGTGTAAAGAGGAAGAGTTCAAGAGAAATCAAAGTCGGGGAAACACTCGTTACTTAGTTGTTCGCATTGTTATACCCTACTACGTAGACTTTAGGTCAGGGTCATCCAAACCCAGGCCCGTGGGCCACATGTGGCCCGCCGCTTTATTATCTGTGGCCCGCGTCACATTCGAAAGGAAATCAAAAAATCGCATTTTGTGTTGTTTCATAATAAAATTAATCAGAAAAATCTTCTGACATATTGTTACATCAATAATGTCACATAATGGACTAAGGTTATGGCTTGCTGCGGCAACTAGTGAAGTTGAATGATGTGCTTGGCAGTCTAAATTATTATCTGGCTTTCTATCTTTTAGGTCGGGAATATATGCTAATAATATAGGCATCATAGAAAACTAAAAATCGAATGCGGATTCTATTAGCCTGGGATCGCTATGTCTGATAACTATGTGTTTGCACAATGAAATTTTTTTTTTTTGTATTGCACTGTTTACCTATTCTTGGCACTATTGTGGCCCGCGAACAATGAAAAATTATTTTGTGGCCAGCGAAGCGGACAACCTTGGCCCACCCTGCTTTAGGTTCTCAAAGTGCTCCGTGCGGATCCTCATGACTCCGTTGAAGACACTTAAGGCCTCCGCGAGCTATTCGTTTACTTGAAAACTGTTCTCGACCCACTGCCCTATCTCAATCTACTTACCTATCTTCGACCCACTGCCCGACATCCTTCAGCTTTCTTATCCTCGACGCACTGCCCTATCTCCATCAACCTTCCTATCTTCGGCCCTCTGACCTATCTCCCCAATTTTCCCACCCTCGAACCACCGCTCTATCTCCTTCAACCCTTTTCTTCTCCATCCCCTGTCCTAGTTCTCCTAACCGTTCTATCCCCTTCAACCTTTTTATCCTCGACCCACTGCCCTATCTTCCTCAAACTATCTATTCTGGACAGACTGCCCTATCTCCCACAACTTAAGTATTTTTGACCTACGGTGCTATACTATTCAATACCTGACCTAACGGCGCTTTCCAATGTGTTATACTGGTCGTGTATGCCAATGAGATGATTCAATGTTACGTCGACAAAACATGATGGACGGCATTCGTATATCTAGGCTGGAAGTTCAAATGGTAAACAATAACCATAAGTGGCAGTTTGAAAATGTGTTACTAATTGGGCTGTTGATGGTTTCTTGTTGGGGATGACGGTTTTCTAAATTATAACAAGCCGTTTTATGCCCTTAACAATTGGCCATGTCGTGGGTCTTGTGGCGATATGATGCTGATCCGAAATAAGCGATGGTGCTCTGGTCCGTGAAAGGTATTTTTCTCAAACGTTTTATAGTAAAAGCGATGCCGAAGATTACGCATGAACTGCGTCCTTTGGAACTTCGGATAAGAAATTGCAGATAAGATAAGATCGATTTTGGGACTATACGCTGAATTAAAGGACAGTTGGCGACGCTAGCTACGACAAAACATTTCATGGCATAAAAATAGTTTAGAAGGAAATATACTCACTGAGCGACTTATATTTTTGACTGTTTTTGACTTTTCAGCCTTCTCAGTCAAGTAAAAAAATTTGTATATACACCTATCTGATGAGTTGGATTAAAAAATGCAGGATATGGCAGAACATTCGTTGAAAAAGACCAAGCGTGCAAATATTTGAATATTTCCTCATCATTTTGCCCTGCACGAAAATACCGGCAACAACGAATGAGTTACTGAAAAGTAACACAAATAAGTCGGTAATGAATGGCCTGTTAAAATCCTAAAAACAGTGACTATAAACCCGATGCCACCAGTAGCCTAATTAGTAGCACATTTTTAAGCCACTGATTATGGTTTTTGATTACCAATTGAGATTCCAGCTTACATTTACGAATGCCGTCAATCATGTTTTGTCGACGTATGATTGAATCATCTCATTGGCATATTCGACCAGTATAACACATGGAAGTCCCAACGTGATAGAGTTTGTTTTGACTATTAGTTCGTGATTATAGCGCCGTTAGGTTAGGTGCCGAGTGGTATAGCGCCGTGGGTCGAATATAAGTAAGCTGAGGGAGGTGGGACAGTGAGTCGAGGGTGGTAAGTTTGAGGCAGAAAGTGCAGTGGATCGAGGATAGAAAAGTTTAGGGAGATAGGGCGATAAGTCGAGGGTAGAAAGGTTGAAGGGGATAGGAAGGTTGGGGGAAGTAGGTCAGTGGGTCTAGGATAGGAAGGTTGAGGGGAATAGGTCGGTGGGTGCAGGATAGAAAAGTTGAGGGAGGTGGAGCACTTGGCCGAGACGAGATGGACGCAGGGCAGCTTGAAAACTGTTCTCGACCCATTGCCCTTTCGACCCACTGCTCGACCTCCTTCAGCTTTCTTATCCTCGACGCACTGCCCTATCACCATCAACCTTCCTATCTTCGGCCCTCTGCCCTATCTCCCCAATTTTCCCACCCTCGAACCACCGCTCTATCTCCTTCAACCCTTTTCTTCTCCACCCCCTGTCCTAGTTCTCCTAACCTTTCTATCCCCTTCAACCTTTTTATCCTCGACCCACTGCCCTATCCTCCTCAAACTATCTATTCTCGACAGACTGCCCTATCTCCCACAACTTAACTATTTTTGACCTACGGTGCTATACTATACAATACCTGACCTAACGGCGCTTTCCAGTGTGTTATACTGGTCGTGTATGCCAATGAGATGATTCAATCTTACGTCGACAAAACATGATTGACGGCATTCGTATATGTAGGCTGGAATTTCAAATGGTAAACAATAACCATAAGTGGCAGTTTAAAAATGTGTTACTAATTGGGCTGCTTATGGATTCTTGTTGGCGATGACGGTTTTCTAAATTATACCAAGCCGTTTTATGCCCTTAATAATCGGCCATGTCGTGGGTCTTGTGGCCATATGATGCTGATCCGAAATAAGCGATGGTGCTCTGGTCCGTGAAAGGTATTTTTCTTGAACGTTTTATAGTAAAAGCTATGCCGAAGATTACACATGAACTGCGTCCTTTGGAACTTCGGATAAGAAATTGCAGATAAGATAAGATCGATTATTGGACTATACGCTGAATTAAAGGACAGTTGGCGACGCTAGCTACGACAAAACATTTCATGGCTTAAAAATAGATTAGAAGGAAATATACTCACTGAGCGACTTATATTTTTGACTGTTTTTGACTTTTCAGCCTTCTCAGTCAAGTAAAAAAATTTGTATATACACCTATCTGAGTTGGATTAAAAAATGCAGGATATGGCAGAACATTCGTTGAAAAAGACCAAGCGTGCAAATATTTTAATATTTCCTCATCATTTTGCCCTGCACGAAAATACCGGCAACAACGAATGAGTTACTTAATCGGAACTCAGATAAGTCGGTAATGAATGGCCTTTTAAAATCCTAAAAACAGTGACTATAAACCCGATGCCATCAGTAGCCTAATTAGTAGCACATTTTTAAGCCACTGATTATGGTTATTGATTACCAATTGAGATTCCAGCCTACATTTACGAATGCCGCCAATCATGTTTTGTCGACGTATTATTGAATCATCTCATTGGCATATTCCACCAGTATAACACATGGAAGTCCCAACGCGATAGAGTTTGTTTTGACTATTAGGTCGTGATTATAGCGCCGTTAGGTTAGGTGCCGAGTGGTATAGCGCCGTGGGTCGAATGTAAGTAAGCTGAGGGAGGTGGGACAGTGAGTCGAGGGTGGTAAGTTTGAGGCAGAAAGTGCAGTGGATCGAGGATAGAAAAGTTTAGGGAGATAGGGCGTTAAGTCGAGGGTAGAAAGGTTGAAGGGGATAGGAAGGTTGGGGGAAGTAGGACAGTGGGTCTAGGATAGGAAGGTTGAGGGGAATAGGGCGGTGGGTGCAGGATAGAAAAGTTTAGGGAGGTGGAGCACTTGGCCGAGGCGAGATGGACGCAGGGCAGCTTGAAAACTGTTCTCGACCCATTGCCCTATCTCAATCTACTTACCTCTATCTATCTTCGACCCACTGCAACTATTTTTGACCTACGGTGCTATACTATT